CCGGGCTGGCCACCACCTGCCTTTCCTGCCAAGAGCTGCAGGTCACGTGGGGCAGGGGCATGCCAGGACTGTGGACCGTGGCAGCCGGGCAGCTGCTGGGCTGAGGCGTGCCAGGCACACGGACGTGGCCGGGAGCCCGGAGCAGCCCGAGGCCCGGAGGATCGTGCCGCCCCCCCAAACCTGGGGCGGGCCCCACTCGGACCGCCTGGCCCCTTCCTGGCCCTGGGGCCTGCAGACACGGCCGCCCCTGGCGGGGACATGCCCTGGTGCTCGCCCGGCCACTCACCTGACAGGCGGCGGGTGGAGGCCCGGCGAGCCTGGCCTGGCGGGGCACTGAGAGCCGGGGCCGCCGTGTCCTCGCGCCTGCGGACACTTCGGTCCCCACGGGGATCCCAGAGGCTGTGCGAGGCCAGGGGGAAGTGAGGGTATTTCACGGGCAGGGAGGAGGCGGTGCGGGCGGGGGCGGGGCCAGGAAAATCACTTTCATAAGCGTGAGTCAGCAGGGGCCGGGATGAATGAACTTGCACACTGGGAGGACAGTGTCACGCTGCCTGCCCCGGGGCCGCCTTAAAGGGCCCCTGCTGGGTTACCTGCCCCGGGGGACTGGGGACCTCTCGGACACCTGCTACCGTGCGGTGTCCATCCCCGGGGCTCCCTCTCTGGAAGAGGAACCAGTGACCCCTGAATGCGCCAACCTGGCCTTTCCCGTAAGGGGGGAGGAGACAGCTTGGCCTCCTGGAATATGCTTAAAGGGACATCCCCTTTGAGTGGCGGAAAACCATCCGGTTCCCTCGTTCCACCTGGATTCCAGTTCGGCATCCACCCCCCCACACCCCCACTCACCAAAGCGCACCGGCACCGGCCCCGCCAAATGCTGCCTTGGGGACCAATCCTCAGTTTCCTCATCTGAAAAACGGGGCTAAGAGACATACTCTCTGTTTTTCCCCCGTCCTGGGGTGGGCGTGGGGTTAACAGACAGCGGCTGCCTCGGTTCTTACTTCCTTTCCCTTGTGCAGTGTCCCCACGTGGGACACTGTTCTGATTCTTAGCCATTCCACCGTCTCTCTCCCCACACACGGATCGGGCTTGGTGTGGGCAGGGAAGTGTGTTTGTGTCCGCTGGAGCCCGTGTCTAGAACAGAGCTCTGCACACAGCAGGGCGCGGGGTTTGTTGACCAGAAGGGGGCAGGGAGGGAGGAAGTTAGGACAGCGCTTGGCCCTCGGACCGCGGTGCTCGGTAGCTGCTATTTTCAGCGGTGATGTTGCTGCCACCCCGTCTTCCTCTCCAGGGCCTGTGCCTGGGGGAGGCAGGTCAGGCACTGGCTTTGAGCGCAAACTTTATGGAGGTGCCAGAAAACAGTACTCGAGAAAATAATATTTTGATGCAGTTTTTTAAAAAAATCGAAATTGACGCCAAAAAAAAGCCCAAATAAACAAAGACGGGACTCGGAGCAGCGCCTTGTTGAGCTGTTTCAGAGCCTGCTGCAAAAGGAAAACCCGGGACTCCTGATGCTGCCTTTGTTTAAAAGTTGGATATTTTGTTCATCCTGGATTTTTTTTTGAGACAGGATCACCCGGGCTGGAGTGCAGTGGTGTCATCGCAGCTCACTGCAACCTCAGACTCTGGCTCAAGCGATCCTCCTGCCTCAGCCTCACAAGTAGCTGGGACTACAGGCATGCGCCACCACGCCCGGCTAATTTTTCTGTTTTAGTAGAGACAGGTCTTGCTTTTGCTCAGGCTGGTCTCGAACTCCTGAGCTCAAGCCATCCTCCCGCCTCATCCTCCCAGAGTGCTGGGATGACAGGCGTGAGCCACCGCGCCCGGCCCTGGATTTTTTCTTTGCCATGAATTTTGATTTTAAAAAAATACCGCGTGAACCCATTACATGTCCTGATTATGGAAGTGCCTTGGTGCTCCTTAAATCTTGTGCCTGAGGTGATGCCTCACCTTCCGCGCCCTTGTCCGCCAGGGCCCTAGGGCCTCGGGGACCCGCCTGCAGGGGCAGGGTGGGGGTGAGGAGGGGCGCCGGGTCTGACTGCCAGGCCTGGGGACGGGGCCTGGGGAAAAGCACCCCTGAGGAGGCGAAACCAGTGGGGCCTGTGGAGGGCTGGGGGAGATAGAGTGAGAGCATATGTGTATGCATATGTGTGTATGCATATGTGCATGTGTGTATCTATGTGCATGGGTGTATGCATATGTGTGTGCATGTGTGTAGCTGTGCATGTGCCTACATGTGTGTGCACGCGTGCACGCATGTGTACGTGCAATACATGTGTGCACATTTGCACATCTTTATGTGTATATGCATGCATGTGTGTATGTATGCATGTTTTTGTGTGCATGTGTGCATATGTGTGTATGCACTTATGTGCATGCATGTGTATGTGTGCACATGTTTGTATGTATATGTGTGCATGCACGTATATGCATTTATGCATGTTTATGTGTATGTATGTGTGCATGTGTATGTACACGTATGTGCATGTGTATATGCACTGGTTTATGTGTGTGCATGTGTATTGTGCATGTTTGTGTGTATATGTGTGCATGTATGTATGCACTTGTTTATGTGTATGCATGTATGTGTATGCACTTGTTTATGTGTGTGCATGTGTACGTGTGCACGTGTTTGTGTGTACATGTGTGCGTGCATGCGTATGCATGTGTGCACATGTTTATGTGTGTGTGCATGTGTGTGCATGTGCACATGGGGGCTCTGGTGCAGAGTGAGGGGCTCCTGGCTAGGGGCGAGGGCCTGGAGGGTGTGGGGGCAGAATGAGGAGTGGGGGTGAGCAGGGCAGCTGGGCTCAGGGAAGAGGCTGGGGACATGGCCGGTCCTGAGCTGGGCCCCCCTCCTGCCTGCCCGCTCCCCCCCAGGGGCTGCCTGCGCCCAGGGCCCTGTGCTCAGAAGGGCGACAAGTTTGGTTGAACACTCCGCTGTCACCGCTTAAACAGTCTTAACGAATTTCCAACGAGGGGTCCTGCATTTCCCTTTCGCCCCAGGCCCGAAAATCACAGGATTGGTCCAGCCTCCGAGCCTCAGTTTTACCCGTAGGGAAATGGGTGCGGTGACCCACTAGGGTGACACGGTGCACAGCAGAGGGGCCCAGCGAGCTTCTAGCCCCACTGCGGGTGTGCCGTGTGACCTGGGGCAGGAGGCCTCGACCTCTGGGCCCGTGTTCCAGCCGCGACCTTGTGACCCACGCTCCCTAACACCCACGCGCACTCCCCCGCCAGGCGGGCTTGGAACTTGGGGCGGCCCCACGGGAGTGGAGGGGAGCGCAGCCGCGGCGGCGGACATACCTCCGGTCCCCGCGGCATCCTTCCCCGGCAGTGGCCTCACTGTCCCCACGGCCCCATCCCTCGGCTCCTGCTCTGCAACTTCCCCGTGCTGCTGGCTGTGTAAACTGAGGCAGAGAGAGACACTCACCCAGGGTCAGGGACTGCCACCCGGCGCGGCCAGCTCGCTGAGGATGGGACATGGGAGGGGGAGCCGGAGGGAGGTGGGCTTCCCTGGACCCCGTCTCCCAGGCCTGGCCTGCCCTCCCCCCCCCCACACCTGCTCTGTCCCCGAGGGCTCTGACCCCTGTCCCCGGCTTTGGAAATCTGCTGACACGGTGAACCGCGGGCCGAGACGTGGACTTTCTTCCCTGCCTCCTGTTTGCCTGCCGGGCGATTATGGGAAACAGGATTGTTGACCTGCTTCCAGAAAGCTCGGCCAGACCAAGGCAGATAATGTAACAGGCGGGCGACAGGGCGGTGGGCAGAGGGTCGGTGGGGAAGGAGCAAGGCGGGGCTCTGCAGGCCGCCTCTGTGTGCTGCTGGCTCCCCTGGGTGCCACCGGAGGCTCCGTCCCCCCACCACCACCTGCCCTGTGCCCCTGGAGGCCGAGAGTTCAGGTGACCGTTGCACACCTGAAACGTGACCCTCTGAATTCAGATGTGCCCGCCAGAGGTCCTAAATAAGAATAGAGGCGTCCAGGGAAATCTGAATTTCAGATCAACAAGAAAGACGCTTTTAGCATAAGTATATCTCAAATATCACATGGGACGGACTTACACACAAAGTGTATTTTTCGTCCACCTGAAATTTGAATTGACCTGGGCGGCCTGTATCTTATCAGGCAACTCTAGCTCTCTAAGCGTAAAATATGCACTAGATTTCAGAGAGTTAGCACAGGAAAAAAAAAAAAAAAGGTAAAATAATCTCATTAAAAGTTTTTATATGGATTATACATTGGCATGAAAATAAGGGAACTATTTGACATATGGGAGCTGAATGAAATATATTATGACAATTAATTTCAGCCATTTCTTTTCCTTTGTTTCATGTCTCGTTAGGTCCCAGCTGGACGGTGCTGGGCCGGACGTTGGCACCCGCTGCTGACACCAGCTGGGACATTCCTGGTGTGGCGCTGAAGCCACTGGTGTCCCAGGAAGCCCCGTGGGCAGGGGCAAACCAGGACAGGTGGTCAGCCTGGAGCACTGGGGCGCCTGGGCAGTGTGACCCGGGAGAGGTGCTTTCCTTCTATGCCTCAGTTTCCCCATCTGTGCACTGGCATTGCCAGTGTGGGTGACAGCAGCTGATTTGAGCTGATCTGTCCTGGCGCTGGCAGGAGCTCAAACGCTGCAGCCCCCACCCCCCGGACCCCATCCTCTGCCCCCTTCCCCGGGCCCCTGCAGGCTGCGCAGGAGCTGGGACCATGAGGCCAGGGTAAGAGTAGGAGTAAGAGGGGTGCTTCCCGGGGTCGTGGCATGGAATGGACCCCCCCCTCGGCCCCTCAGAAATCCCGCGGCCATTGGAAGGGGCCTCTCCGGCCCCTCCCCGTCCCTTCTCTGCCATTGCTGGGCACGTCCAGGTGCCAGGCGCCGGGAACAGAGGGCTCTTTATACGCAGCCGAGGCTCAGAGAGGCTGATCTCAAGCCTGAGGTCACACAGCACGAGGCACTGAGCTGGGGGCCTCCGGGGGGGCGGGGGGGAAGACAGACGGGAAAGGAGTGAAGACGGCAGCCTCCCCTTCCTGTCTCGGGAGCAAGGCTGGGGTCCAGGAGCCCAGAGCGGGCCTCCCCTCGCCACGGCCACCCCCATCACAGACCCTCGCGCCCACCCGCACCCCAGCCCAGCGGGGCCGGCGTCCCGGGTACATGATCTCCCCATTTCCAGGCGAGGCCTGAGAACGCGAGGTGTGGCCCCAGGTCACCGTGAGTGGCAGAGCTGGGACTGTGACCCTGCCCTGCCGGGAACGCTGATACGAGGAGACCAGGCCCTCCTAGCACCTGACACGAGCACCACTATTTGCCCAGCGCGGCGCGTGTGCAGAGCCCGGCCGCCCACCCGAGTCCGTCGGCCCTCCCGGCAGCCCGGGCGGGGGTGGGGTTGGGGGCAGGTGTTTTCAGTGACAGTTTGAGTTTACGAGGCGGGGGAGGTGACGCAGACTCGGTCTGTCTGGAGGCAAAGCCACCCGAGGACACCAGTGTGAGCTGCCCGGCCCCGGCCAGGGGAGGGGACAACAGCCAGCTCAAGGGCTCACCGCAGATCCCTGGGGGGGGGGGGAGACGGCACCAAAGCTGGGACCCGGGGCGCCCCCCAGCGGAGAGGACGGGGGCGGGGCAGGCCGGGAGGAGCATCTGGGACACAGGGCGCGCTGGCTGGCAAGGCTCCCGGGCTTTCCGCTGCCCTCTCCCCTCTTTCCCTAGAGAAGGCCCCGGGCGAAGTCTCAGTCAAGCCGAGCGTGCAGGGTGCCTCGCCCTGGAAGGCCCGTCGCGTGCACGGGGCGTCCACCCCGCGGTGCGAAAGAGCCCCTGCGCTGTTGAGTCCAGACAAGCCCGGGCGAGCGCTGCTCCAGCGCTCTCAGCTGTGTGGCTCTGGGCAGGTGGCTGAGCCTCTCTGAGCTGTGAGGTGGGGACGATGGCACCCACCTGGGGCAGCGCTGCTGTCCCCCTCCGCACATGGCAATCACCTGGGCAGATTTCAGAAACGCACCAACAGGGGCTCTGGCATCACTGGGCCGGGGTGTGGCTGGGCACGGAGGTTTCGCCCCGGCCACGGGCACGGGAGCCTCCGTCCCTGGGGACGCCGGGGGACGGGCTGAGATTCAGCTTGGGAATCGCCCGGTTCTCGGAGGTGCTGGGCTCACCAGAACCTTCCACGCGGCGGCCCGGCTTTTTGTGACGTGCGCTCGGTCCGCCGCTGCGGGAACTGCCACTTCTAGGCCCCGTCGACTTCACTTCTCTAAGCGCTCAATCTCCTCAGTCTATAAAATAGGGGGCGATAATGTCTGTCCACCCAGACAGGCGCGCCATGCACGCCGGTGGGTTTTTCGCCGTGGACCACGGCGTCCGGGCCTTCCGGAGTTTCTCCCCCAGCTCCGGCCGGCCTGCTCTCTGCTGCTTCCTAACGGACCGTCCTCCGATTTGGTCAGAAATGAGGACTCCCAGTTCTGGGTGGGCCGCATCCGCACGGTCACAGCCTGGTGGCTGTCGCTGATGCTGGCATTAGATTTTGAGACTACCTAGGACAGGATGACACAGCCAACGAGGCAGCGGAACGGTGACAAGCCATCTGACCCGGCTCTGCTCCCGGGCACATGCAGGGCAAACCCCTGACGGCCGACCACCGCCTCACCCCTGCAGGCTTGGTGTTCTCCAGGGCACCAGCTTGGAGCTCCCGGGTCTGGAGATCCAGCACCTCGCTCCTCCATCCCTCCTGAACCAACTAAACAGCTCACCGGCCCTGTCCCTGGCCCTCCAGGAAGTCCATGACCGGTTTCCTGTGGCTCCTCAGCTGTGACAGTGGCTCCATCGGGCAGATGCCCAGGTCCCTGCCAGCCTGGGAGGACTCCATCTCTCATCAGCAGCACCAACAGAGCCTGCAGACTCTGGCCCTGTGCCCATGCTTCATCGCCCCCTTGAACAGGTGTAGTGGACCATTCCTAGTCCAAGTTCCTTGCCCCCACAGCAAGGCTGGGCACAGCCGCTGGCTGCCTGAGCGACTCGCTCTCACTGGCCTGCCATAGGCTGTACCCGATGGGATCCCCACCCCTGGCAGAAGGGCGACCAGGACCCCTCCCACGCACAAGCTAGCTTTCTCTTCTTTTCCATGTACCTGCTAGAACAAAACACCCACCAAACCCCCAAACTTTCACTAACACATTATTATATAAACAGAAAAATTCACAAACGCTCCAGGCCCTTGCACTCTTGGACAGGTGGGTGCTCCAGTAGGCCTAACCTAGTGGTCACGCTGACAGCACAGGCCACCAAACAAGAGCGAAGACCAGCGAGCAGCTGTAACGTTTCACAGCCAGAGGAGCGATGAAACAGGGAGAAAGCGGACAGTCCGAAGAATTTCACTGGGCTATCCCAGGGACCCTGTCATTGTAGCGAGACAGGATTCTTATAACGTCCTGTCCCTTTTCTAACATAGAAAGGAAACACCCCCAAAAAGCATCCCTCACAGAAGACTCTGAACAAACTGCAGATATATATATCTATTTAATTGAGACAAGAGTACACTCACTCGTTTGCCTGGCTAGAGATATCATGTGCGTACAGCCTAGCTACAGCAACATACCAACTCCTGGGCTCAAGCGATCCTCCATGCCTCAGCCTCCCAGAGTAGCTGGACTACAGCGCATGTGCCACCCAATGCGGCTTACGTTTTTCTACTCATAAGTTTAGTTGGCCAATTAATTTCTTTCTATTTTTAGTAGAGACTGGGTCTCGCTGTTGCTCAGGCTGGTCTTGAACTCCTGACCTTGAGCGATCAGCCTGCCTCCCACAGTGCTAGGATGACAGGCGTGAGCCACCGCGCCGACCCAAACCACAGATTAGACCCTGCTCTGCTCAACATCCTCCGGGGCTCCCCGCTGCCCTCAGGCCTCCTGGACCCAGCTGGCCCCACAGGTCCCTGCAGGAGCCGCCCTGGGCCGGGATGGTAGGCTACCCCTGCGTCCCCTGCCAGCTGTCCGGCTGCCGGGCTTGGAAGCCTCTCCTAGCCTGACCCCGGCCTGGGCGGACCTCTCTAGATCCAGCGCTGGCTTTCTGCTGTGCGGAGAGGCAGAGACGACCCCACGCCCCCCCACCCCCAGCAGCGGGGCTGGAGCTTGCTTCTCCGCCCGCCAGCCAAGTGCTTTACAAGCGGCTCTTGGCGAGCTGTGAGGCTCCTGCCCCCCAGGACCCCACCAGACAAGCCGGCAAGTGCTTCCTGCCCAAGTGTCCTGAGTTGGGGAGGGAGAAAATACGAGGCAGCTTTGGGGAGAATGAGGGGGTGGACGGTGTCACGCAAAGTCCTTTGGAAAGGTGGCACTTCCCCTGGGACGGGGCTGGTGGCGGGGAGGGCCGGGGAGAGCCGGGCTGAGGGGGCTTGTGAGGTCGGGGGAAGGCAGGACGCTCACAGCAGAAGCCCC